TTCGGGTTTAGGGTTTATGGTTTGGGGTTCAGGTTTGGGGTTTGGGTTTCGGGATTCAGGTTTAGGGTTTAGGGTTTAGGAAATAGCGAAGACCCCGAAACCCCAGAGACTCCAATATCCCTTAATTAAGGAATGTACCTTAAATTATAGTAGGATCCCTAATATGATTTAAGGTATATTCCTTACTTAAGGGATATTGGAGTCTCTGGAACCCTACCCAAACCCTTGTGGCCAGGCTCTCCTCTCCGACGACGATGTGGAGAGCGTGGCGGAAGAACTGGTCGCTGGGTTCAGGGATTTCGGGGCTTAGGGGATTGGGATTAGCGGGATTAGGGTTTAGGGTTTTAGGGTTTAGGGTTTTTAGGGGTTTAGGGGATTAGGGTTTTAGAGTTTGCGGGTTTAGGGTTTTCGGGTTCAGTGGTTTCAGTTTAGGGCGGTGTAGGCTACTCTTAGGGGCTTAGTTTCAGGGCCTTGTTCGGTACGCGGCTTACAATAATCAGGGCTTAGCATAACTGCAGGGGCATAAACTAGTTTATACTCAGGCTATGAGAGTTTTTGGAGTATTCAGGTTCATTGATGTGGCTTGAGAAGGATATAGAAAATAGGAGGATTGCGTCTCAGGAGATCTGTACTCCAAATAGGTCTCGGGCCCCACAGAGCTAGCATTGAGTCATCTACATGGGACTGGTTGCCACTGGGATGAAGGGTGGTAGTGCAGCGCGTGGGGGACCCCTGAAGCCGAGATGCCTTCGATGCAACACACTGACGTTAACGCTGTCGAGGCATCCCGATCCCAAATAAGGCGAGATCCCTCATCATTAACCCAAAAATCAACCCCAAGAAGAGCCACCTGTGACCCCAAACCCTAGAAACTAGTAGGTTATGACCCCTGAATTAGCCCTAAACCCTAAACCCCTAAACCCCTAAACCCCTAAACCCTAAACCCTAAACCTTAGAGCCCCTAAAAGGGTAGGTTTTTGGGGATTTCCAGGCAGAGCCCAGATTCTTTGGACCTGGCCAGGCTGCCACGGGCCCCGCGCCTGAAAGAGTGTCCGACTCCCAGAGTTGCGTGTATTTAGGGTTTAGGGTTTAGGGTTTGTTTAGGGCCAAAGTTTAGGGTTTGTTTAGGGTTTAGGGTTTAGGGTTTAGTAATATAGGGGCTTAAATAGTTACCGATACTATGTTGGGGGGCTCCTTATTGTAATCCCCAACAGCTTTAGCTTTGGGTTGATGAGGCTTCGGGTTTAGGATGCAGGTTCAGTAGATTTTATAACCGCAATTCTCATGAATAGAGGTACCTTGTTTAGGGATGCTGCCATGGTCTTGGTTATGGTCCCCCTCTTTTCTCAGACTGCGCAGTGCTCTCATCATAAGCATCTCCATGGCAGCCATCCGCATATAGTCATGATAGCGGTATGAGCGCTGAAAGCTGTCGATTGGTTGAACACAGGAACCCTACTTGGAGGGTCGGGAGACTTGGTAAATGGATATTTCATAGACTTATAAGTACTATAACCCCAATTAGGGTCCCTTTCAGGGTACTTATAAGTCTACTTACCCTAAACCCTAAACCCCTAAACTCTGAACCCTATTACCTGCTTACTAAGTCTCCGGACCCGCCAAGTAAACATTTCGGGTGCTGTGTGCTTGGAGCTGATTGCTGAGATTTGGCGGATTGCTGTTTCCATGCCCGCGAAAGTTGTTTAGGGTTTAGGGCTCAGGGTTCAGGGTTTAGGGTTTAGGATGGATCCTAAGCTTATAACTATTAACCCTAGCAGCAGTCGGTTGGCTAGTTGTGGGGATTGTGGTTCCATTCATTCAATTCCCTAAACCCAGCTCGTGTGATTCCAGGAGCAACCTAGGTCCCAACACTGAGCCTCAAACCCCAAACCATAAAACCCGAAACTCTAGGCCCTAAGCTGCAAGAGCCGTTTAAACTCTTCTGAGCAGCCCGTGAGACGGCAGCTTGAAACTAGTCCCAGAGACTCCAATATCCCTTAATTAAGGAATATACCTTAAATCATATTAGGGATCCTACTACAATTTAAGGTATATTCCTTAATTAAGGGATATTGGAGTCTTTGAGTTTTTTCTGAGCGCAGCTTTCGTGCCCAGGGTTTATGGGAGGGCGGTCTGGGCCTTGGGGTTTCGGCTCAGTTCTGGGTGAGGTCTAGGGTGCAATGAGAATTGGACCAACTACCCTAAGCACTAAAGCGTAAACCCAACACCCAAAATCCTAAACCCTATATAAACCATGGAGGTTCTGCCACTTGCTCCGCATCTTGGCGGAGCTTGGGGTACGCCGGCCTCAGAACAACGAACAATACCAGCAGCAGGCGCGACATCATCCTGGCCTTACATATATTCTAGGGTTTAGGGTTTAGAGTTTAGGGTTTAGGGTTTAGGGTTCTAGCTACTGTTATTGGGGATACTTTCCCAAATCATGATACTAATTCTTACTTGTGATACAGAAAACCTTACATTCTACTGTATAGGTACTTAGGACCTTTGGGCTTGTTTAGGGTCTAGGGTAATTTCGGGCTGAGGTTCCAAAATCCAGAGCGAGGGCAGAGTAGATGGTAATTGGCAATGACCCCAATTTTTAGTAGCAACACCTGCACCAAGTCCTGACAGTGCTTGTGACACCAGTTGTGGAAAGCGCCGTCGGGACGGTGGAGCGGTACTACTTCTCAATGTTGATGCTTCGATGCTCGATGTCGCTGCAAGACAACAACGATCATCGTGGCTACTGCGTTGAAGACACTTGGGATTCTCAGAGCTTCGCGCTGCGTTCTGTTATCCGTTGATGTTTGTACCTTTTGTTTAGACAAAGTTGCTACTACAGTAATCGTAAATGTATGAGTGTGTCATGTGTCATATCATTGTAATTCCCGAATGTATTGTTGAGCTATCTTATGCTTGACAATGAGGTCACACAGTCATTGGGAATGGAGTCAGGACAGCGTTCAGGAGAGACGACTGTACGGGACCGATCACAGAACTACCAAAAGTGACAGTGTCTAAACGCGACCATAGTTCCAGAGGATGCTTTGAGTCCGTCGATTCCCTTATCTCGGAGCTGAAACCCTAAATCCTAAACCCTAAGCCCTAAGCCCTAAACCCTAAATCTTAAACCCTACACCCTAAACCCTAAACCCTATAAACCCTAAACCCTAAACCCTATAAGCCCTAAACCAAAAACCCCACCTTTTGCAGGTCCGCAGGCGAGTCTACCGAATCATTTGCGGCCTTGCGCAGTTCACGGGGCTCATGCTGACCCTCGGTGCCTACCTATGGCTCTGTGCCCTAGGCCGGTGGGGTTTAGGGTTTAGGGTTTTAGGGTTTAGGGTTTTAGGGCTTTCGGGTTTTAGGGTTTAGGGTTTGAGGTTCAGGGTTTTGGGTTTTGGGTTTAGGGCAGCAGAGGTGGGTTTGAGCTAGGTTCCCCAGTCGTACCCTTCTGCCCTTTTCCTTTTTTGGGGTTCCCTTATTTCAAAACCAAATAGTAGTAAAAGGGGTATCCTGATTCTTAAGGGGCTGGTGCGGAACCCCGTATCCCAGAGACTCCAATATCCCTTAACTAAGGACTAACCTGAAAGCATATTAGGCCTTCATTAAGGGATATTGGAGTCTCTGGGAAGCTTCCAACTTCAAGCCTACTCAAGCTTCACGTTGTCCACACCTCAAAGGGCGGCAGTCGGAAAGTCAAACCCTACTGTACGTGCCGAATACTACTTTTTTTTGTTTTTTTTTGGGGGGATGGTCCCTATAAACCTTATACTATAAAATACGCCCAAACCCTAGTCTAATCATTTCGGCCCCTTTCTTCGACCCTTATAGAAACCCCCTCTCAAAAGGAACCCTATTTTAGTTAATAAGGCAAACCACACTCTGTCCATGGCTCTCTCCCGATGTTGTCACGAAGACCATGTCCGAGCCTGCTTCTCCCGTTTCTTGCAAGTTGAGGACCCCGAAAAAACCCTAAACCCTAAACCCTGAACCCTAAACCCTGAACCTTAAACCCTAAACCCTGAACCCTGAACCCAAACTTCTAGGGGTAAGAGTTTAGGCTTTGGGCAGTTGACCAGGTGCACTGTATCGCTATGGTGCTGGCAACTGCGATGTGCCTCTGGGCAAGTATGTGGGAAGCTTACCCGAGCTTGGCATCGCATGCTTCATTATTTTATCGGTGGCGTCGTGCTTATGCAGTCGTTTTTTGTTGCTTTCATTCACTCATTAATTCATTCATCCATCCATTCATCCAGTGGTCCTCCCATTCACTCTCGTTCAGTCATTTATTCCTTCGTTCATTTATTCACTAATCCATCCATTCAGTATGTCAATCATTCCTTCCTTCCTTCATTCATCCGTTCATTCATTGGTTCAGTCCTTCATTCAGCCACTAACTTATTCATTGGTTCGTTCATTCATTAATTGGTTCATTCCTCCATGTGTTACTGAATTCATTCATTCATTCATTCATTCATTCATTCATTCATTCATTCATTCGTTCATTCGTTAATTCATTCAGTCATTCATTCATTCATTCAGTCATTCATTCATTCATTCATTCATGCACTCATGCTTTCATAGCTGTATGCTGTCATGCATGCCTAAATTCATGATTTCATGCTGTCATGCTTGCATGCATGCATGCAATTCATGCATCATTCGTTCTTTCTTTCTGAGTCAGTCAGTGAATCAGTCACAGTCAGTCATCCATCCAACCAGCCAGCCAGCCATCCATCTATCATCCAGCCATCGACACATCCATCATCCTTCCATGCGCGTGCACCGTATTTACCTACATACATGCATACATGCATACGTACCTACCTACATACATACATGCGTAATCATGCATACATGCATACATACATACATACATACATACATACATACATATACACGTACACGTGAGTGTACATATACTGCCTCTGAAAGCTTGCCTTGGAGGGGCTTGTTTGATGGCAAGGATTACTGATGTCCTTGTCCGTGTCCGGCACAGTGTCGATGGAAGTTGTACTTGGGTAGTTCTCTAAATTAGGATTTTTTGTAGGTCCCAGATATAGTACGGCACCCTTATATAAAGGACCCCCAAAGGGACCCTGACTTAGAAAACTACCCTTATAGTGACCCAACTTCGGGCTGCATTGCTGACCTAGACATCCCTGAACTTTCAACCCACATGCGCAGGACCAGGCTGTGCTGGTCCTGAAACCTACCTTGCTCCCAAGCCTCATGCAACTCGAAACCACGAAAACCCAAACGCCATAAATACAAAACCCCAAACCCTTGAGCGCCTAAATCGTGTCTCCCAAAATCCCTCAACCCTAAACCCTCCTAAACCATTAAGCCCGTACGAAGTACCCACCAAGATCTACATCCAGCTGGGCATCGTGGCAGTTTTCGGCTCGATTCGGCTCCAGGAAACCCAGGGTGGGTTAAGGTTCCGGTTTCGATTGGAGGGGGATTACTACAGGAGTTACTTCAAGGGTTCTGTATAAGGGTTTCCGATAATTTGGGACCCTAATATAGCACCCTAAATAATAGGATCCGTATTATAAGGACCCTAAAAATAAGGTACCCCCGATTTACGGAAACTCCCACTTAAGGGCTACTTTCCGGGATTCGGGAGATAAGGGGTTCGGGCTGCAGAGTTAGATTGGTGCTCTAGGGTTTCAGAGTTTAGAGACTCAGGCTTTCGGTGTAGGGATCGACTTCAACTTAGGGATCTACAGGGGATTTATAGGATTTGGGGTTTAATGTTTGGGGTTTCAGGGCTTGGAGGCTTAGAGGTTAGGCCCTACGAAACCCTAGGGCTTTAGGGTATGTCCTGGAGAGATCTTGGAGTCTTTCTGGCTCTTTCACTGCTGCCAGCCCAGGTTTGGCAAGCCACAAGCCGAGAAGAGCCAAATCTTGAACCCTGGACCCTCAACTGAACCTAATAGGGCTTCTGGTTTATTGGGTTTCGGGCTTAGGGCCTAAACCCCGCACCATACACCGCAGCCCTAAACATCCTTAAACCCTGTGGCTTCAAACCCTAAACCCTATAAACCCTAAACCGTAAACCAAACCCTTAACCCTAAACCCTAAACCGTAAACCCTAAACCCTAAACCAAACCCTAAACCCTACACCCTAAACCCTAAATTCAAGAACCACTCGAACTACAGATGCCCGTAAAAACTGCAGGGCTCCTCGACGAGGTGGAGGCCCGCGAGAGCCTGCTGATGTGGTTCGGGGTCTTGGGCTTTAGGGTTTAGGGTTTAGGGTTTGGGGTTTAGGGTCTTGGGCTTTAGAGTCTAGGGTTTAGGGTTTAGGGTTTAGACGGCTAGAGTTCAGATCATGGGTTGCCTGCCAACGGACCTGACATGTCCTGTCCTGACTCTTGTAAGAACATTGAAAGAACAGAGTTTGGATTACCCAAGCGGACACCTCTGTCTGGAAGATTCGGCAGAGGGGTTTCGCAGTACCCTAAACCTTAAACCCTAAACCCTAAACCCAAAACCCTACCTGTAAGCCCCAAACATTAAAGCTCCCTGAAGCCCCCCAAAGGCTTTAAGCATAGGCCCCATAGTAGTTCCTTTTGGGGGTTGATATTTAGAATCCTATAAGGTAATCCCGAAAAGGAACTACTATGGGGCCTGTGGGTAAGCCTGTAAACCGAACCCTGAATCCCAGAACCCTGCCCCACGGCAGTACAAGATGCAGATAGAACCTTTATAGAGCCCGTCTGGACTTGCTCTTTGCCTTTCCTGGGACCATAGAAAGCTAGAAAGACTTTCAGGGCGCAATTTCTGAGCCTTGAAGTGCTTTGAAACCAACCCTAAACCCTAAAACCCTAAAACCCTGAAACCCTAAAACCTAAAACCCTAAACCCTAAACCCTACACCCTAAACCCTAAACCCTGGAACCCTAAGCCCGGAACCCAACAGGTTGGTTCTGAGCTTTGCGGCCTCCGTTTGCAGCAGCTTGGTGGTAGGTATCGGCCGGGAACCCAGGCCCAGAATGGTTTTAGGGTTTAGGGTTTAGGGTTTAGGAGGGTTCAGGGTTTGGGTTCTTATGATTGATGCTTTACAAAGGCGTAGGTTTGCGGTTCCTAAGAAGTCAGGGTTTGGGTAGTTTAGATTTAAAGTGCACTTCTGGGTTGGGGTTTCTGGGGTCTGGGGTCTAGGGAGTACGGGTGTTGGGTCGAGGGTTTCAGCTTTACCCTAAAACTTACGCCCTAAACCCCCTCACCCCTAAACGCCTGAACCCTAAGCCCCAAACCCTAAGCCGTTCTGGCCTTTTTGTAACATGAACAATGTCGAGCCGGGCCGTGGGTTCTCTCCGGCATGGAGAGGGGTTCCATAGGCTTTGATGAGGAGCACCGTGTTTGGGGCTTGTATAAAAGTCCTATAAGGATCTAGAAGATGTGCTATTGGGTTCTGTCGGGGTACTATAGGATTTTTGTTTATAAGGAGTCTTGGTATGTGTCATAAAGATCTCGAGCGGTCCTGGAAGTGTTTCGGCTTTGAGTAACCCCGGCCATGGTGCTTTGAACAGAGGGCACCTTCTCCTGTCCCTCTTCATGACCTCCTCTGAAGTCTAAAACCCTAAACTCTAAACCCTAGTGCAACACTTGACTTATCCCTCAACTCAGCCCAAGGGTTCAGGGTAAGTTCTGGATGCTGTTGTGCCTTCTCGTTTCTGTTGCTTCTCCCAGCTGGATCGGGACCGGGATCCATTTTGGGAGTCGAGCTTATGCTTTCTGGTGTAGGATGGGTTCGCTTTGTCGTTTAGGGGTTAGGGGCGATGATCCCTGCTTTGCTAACCATGTATAGCATGCCTTTGGCTTCTGCTAGACCCTAAACTTCTAGACCCTAAACCCAGTGTGTCAGTCTAAGGTCTCGGTTGGATCTTATCCTCGCACACCTGCTCGCAGACGAACCCCGCGCTGTACTACTCGGTCGCCTGGCAAGACTCTCGGGGCCCCTGAAGCCTCGTACCTCTAGCCTCAAACTAAGAAACCCTGAGAATTAAAACCCTATAACAGGACCCTGAGACAAACTCTCTGCAGCACGACGCGATTAACTCTGAGCATGAAGGCTGTGCTGCTGTGCTGTCATGGGCATTGACATGCTGCTTGTAGGAGCTAGACCTGCATTCCAGGAAACTGCAACCCAAGAGACCAAGAGCAAAAGCAACAAAGTCAAAGAGCTTGGCGATGAACCTGCTGTCATTTCCGTTGTTTGGTGGCTCGGGTTCTCCAGGCATCGCACGCACACACAAGCACACGCACACACACACACACACGCACACGCACACGCACACACCCACACACACACACACACGCAAAAAGAAACAAACGAGAATAGCTCTATAAACCACTGAAAACCCTAAAAACCCCTAAAACCCCAAACAACTCCATGAAATCTCACCAAAAGCCATGAACAAAAGCAAACCCGAAAGCCCAGTCACTGCGGAGCTGTCGCCGCCAAGATCCGGGCAGCCCCAGGTTACCTCGGAGCCCTAGGCTTAACCTACCAAAACCCTACTTTTTTTGCAGGGTCCCTATAAATTCCATATTAGGGTTTATAATAAGGACCCTACAAAAAACTAGGTTTTGGTAGGTTTAGGGTAGGTTTAGGGTTTAGGGTTTAGGGTCTAGCGGTTTAGGTTTTAGCGTTTAGGGTTTAGGGTTTAGCGGTTGAGGGTTTAGGGTCTAGCGGTTGAGGGTTTAGGGTCTAGCGGTTGAGGGTTTAGGGTTTAGCGGCTTAAGGTTTAGGGTCTAGCGGTTGAGGGTTGAGGGTTTATCGGTCAGGGCTTTTAGGGTTTAGGGCTTTGACGGTTTAGGGCTTTGTGTAGAGAATCGGGCTTCGGGAGATAGGATTTTTGGTCCAGAACAGAGCCCCCTTAGTTGGTAGGTTCTTGAAGGGTCATCAACAAGATGATTCCAACTATGGTACATATGCGCCCCCAAACCTAACCAGCTTACTAAGTCACATGACTGAAACCCGTACAACCTAAAGCCTAAAGCCTAAAGCCTAGCCCGTATGAAACCACAACCCTGTCGACCTTGCCCAAGCCCCTATTCAAACAAAAGCTGAAAAAGACAACGCCTGTTCAAACCCTGATTCCTAGCTTTTAAGCCCTTAATTTGTAGAAAACTTACAGAACCCTCTAAGAAGCCCTAAACCCTAAACCCTCTAAGAAGTTTAAAGCAGCAGCATAAAGCCTTAGCAGGTCACCACAGTGTGGTCCGCCCGAAGTGCAGCGAAGGCGGCCGCCGACGCTACGATACTCTGCACGTCGTGGAGCTGCTCCTCGGCTCTTACTGGGCCTTGTTGGGGTTTAGGGGTTTAGGGTTTAGGGTTTACGGGCTTAGGGTTTAGGGTGTAGGGGTTTAGGGTTTTGGGGTTTAGGGTTTAGGGGTTTAGGGG